TTCCTCTACGTTGAGTAGGGTTCGGAGCAGGAGATGCTTAATCTGATTCACGTTTCAGAAAGATCATTGTGACCGCTAGATTGAGACTAAAATGAAGGTGCCCGTGGGTGGAAAGACAGGAGTCCAGTTAGGCGACTGCCCAAGTCCAGGCGAGGGATGGCCATAAGCGATGGCTGTGTTCTAGATGTGTTTTCAAAGGAGGAACAGCAGGATTTTCTTGGGAGATTGGAGGCAGGGTGTAGAGAAAGGGAAGCTGGTGATGGCTGTAAGGTTTCTGTTCTGGGGAACCACAGAATTAGCATCACCATTTGCTAAGTGACCTTCTCTATGTGGAGACTGTGCTGGGTACAGGCTGAGCAGGAAAGGCCTGGGGCATGTCCTCAAGGTACTAGCAGTCCAGGGCAGGGATGGAGAGGAACACAGTCAGACATCTCAGTAGGGAGTTAGTTACAGGACACTGTGGAGGCACCAAGGGGGATGTGCAGGAAGGAAAGTGCCCAGCAGAGTTCTCAAGTTGGCGATGGGTGAGCAGAGTTACAAAGAATGGAGGGAGGGGTTATCTGGGTGGCTCAGTCGGTTGAGGATCTGACTTCTGATTTCTGCTCAGGTTATGATCTCATGGTCGTGAGATCGAGCCCTGCATTGGGCTCTGTGCTCATTGTGGAGTCTGCTTAGGATTCTCTCTCTCTCAAATTAAGAAATAAAATCTTAAAAAAAAAAAAAAAAAAAGAACAGGGAGGAGACCTTGAGGAAACAGAAAAGACAAGGGCACAAGGCAAGAGGAGTCATGAAGGGCAGGACTTCGGAGCTCGAGGATAGCTCTCAGGACTGGGGCGCTGTGGACAGGGCAGTCGGGATTGAGCCATTTGTGGTTTATCCTGACAGGATCTGACCACACCCACGAGACCTGAGAGCCAAAAGGGCCTCGAGGCCAGTGAGCTACAGGCTGGACTGGAAGCTGTTGCAACACGGAGACAAGAGCATGAGAGGACTGGAGAAGATACGCCAGGCCTGAAGGTCTGACTGGAGGTTGGGCATGAGAGATACGGCGCAGTCAAAGGTGCCCACCGGTTTCTGGCTGGGTGGTCACTGCAGCGGAAGCCCCAGGAGGAGGCTCGTGATTGAGAAGGAAGAGTTTCCTCCCAGCTGCAGAGCCTGGTGGTGAACACCCAGGAGGTGGCTGATCTCGAGCTGAAGGGAGAGCTCTAGGCTGGAGGAAGGAATCCTGGAGTTGTTGCTGCTCAAGGGCCTAGGCTCGAGGACGGAGGAAAAATCACAAACCGGCCCCTGGGGACAGTGACACTTCGGGAGCAAGAGGGGGGTCAGAGAAGGGGCACCCGTAAGTCGGAGAACCAGAGTGCGCTGCCTGGTAAACAGTTCCGCTCCTTCTCTGCCTCCTTTCCCCCCCTCCCCCCGCTGCCCCGTCTCAGTTCCCCCAAAGGCCTGATTTCTACTTAGGCAGCTGTGCTGGAGTGGGGGAGGCTTCCAGGCCGGGGCCGCGGGGGTTCCCCAGTGCGCCTGCAAGCGGGGCGATCCGATCCGAGGCAAGCGCGGGACTTCCGCCCGGAGTCCGGAGCCTAGACTCTCCCCCTTTTGGACTTGGACCAGGACACACGGAGTCTGAGGAAGGGCTGGCAGCCATCCGGAGACTAACAAGGATGAGTCCCCAAAGAAGGAAAGAAATGAGGTTGCTGGTGACATCGAGCTCCAGGATGCAGCAGTGCCGCTTTTCGGCTCGAATGTTATCAAAGTGGCAGGCGTCTGTCCCTGCCTAGCAGTGTCATCTCCTGACCCGGAGTGTGGCCTGTGATGTGGCGCTATATCCCCCTTGCATGAGAGCCTGTGAGGACTGGAGGACTTTCGTCAAGCGTCTGAGGGGTTAGACGAGCGGGCTGGGCGGGACGGACGGCGGGTTGCACGGAACCCAGCGCGCAAGGAGCGGGAAAGCGGGGCGAGGCCCGATTGTTTGCTTCAAGGACGGAAGTAGGGCCGCCGGGCCGGGGAGCTCTGCTCGGCTTCACTCCGACCCAGAGGCACACAGGGAAGCAGGAAGCCGCGGGGACTCCGGCGCTCCTGCTCAGGGGGTGGAACGGTACCGGTTTCGCCGCGGACCACCAGGCAGTCTCCACGCTCTTGGCCGGCGGCATCCGTGATTCGGCGGCTCCTGCTGCTCTGGCAAGAACCCGCCCTGCGGTTTCCCGGTCAAGTGTGTGGGGACAGGCCCGTCAGCCCGTCAGCCCGTCTCCTGCAGCCCAGCTCCTCCGCAAAGCCCGGCCCGGAGGCCCGCCGGTGGGCTCGGCTTCCAGGGGGTACGGGGCGCGACCGCAGCGGGGGCATCGGAAGAGCACGTCTGCGGGGTGTTGAAGGGAGCAGCGCGGGCGAGGGAGCAGCGCGGGCGAGGGAGCAGCGGGTCGGTGCGGCGACGGTGCGCCCGGGTGTGCCGCGAGGAACCCGCGGGCGCGTCCCTCCTGCGGCTGTTCGGGCAGCGGGCTTGGGGAGAAACCTCCCGGGGCTCGGTGTTCACGCTAATGGCTTGCGGTTTGCTTGCTTCGCCTGCATCACATTTATAGGACGAAGGCGAAATTTGGCTCCCGGTGTGAAGGGGGTGAGGGCGCGCAAGCAGCTCGGGCCGCATGCGCGGGCGGAAGTTGGGGCCCTGGGGCCCGGGGCGGCGCGGGGTCTGGCTCAGCCGCCGCCGCCGCCACACGTTGGGGACTTGTGGGGACCGCCCGCTGCGGGCTGATGCCGCCGTGGCTAACGCTGCACGACGCCGCGGGCCGCTGCCCTCCGAAGCGGAGCCTAGAAACCGCGCCCGGTGCCGGGTCCCAGCGGGGTGCAGGCTCGCCTCCGCCACCTCCTGGGCCTCCTCCCGCCCCAGGCTCGCCGCCTCCCGACACCGGCCTCCCCGAGCGCACCCTCCCTTCACTCAGGAGGCGAAGCCCGCCGGCGGCCTGCTGGCCCAGGCCTCGCCCGGACTCCTTCTGCTGCCAAAGGAGGGAGCGACGCGGCTGAACGCAGGCGCTGGGGGACAAGGGAAACCCGAGGCGCAACTTGGAGCCTCGGTGAACGTGGCGTCCAGCAAAGACTCTGAGCTGGGCCCTGGCCCTGCTGAGCGACCAGGAGCGGAGTCTGTCCCTAGATTCTTGACCTGTGGCCCGAGCCTTAGAGCAGAAAATGAACAGATGTCACAGGAAATCTAGCAGGACTTCACTCCATTAATCTGACCACGTATTCATTAGAAATTTCTATCAGTGTCTGTCATCTTTAGGCCTTGGATTACCTGGAAAAGCTACAACAGCTGTTTGATTTAGAAAGTCTAATGAACCGAAACATTCTTGGTAGACTGGTAAACCAAACATTTTCCTGTTAAGCTTTTAAAAACTAAGAACCCTTAAGATTTTAGGGTCTGAAAGTGTACACCTTCAGCTTTAGTGGTTAAATTTTCGTAACAAGCTGAAAAATTATTCAGGGCTCCCTTATTTAAGAGTTACTTGGGCCATTTCAGACACCCATAAGGAGAAATTAAGATGAAGGAAGAGACAGGACTATCCGTTTGAGACATGAGAAAATACTAAGGAGATTCTTTTTGGCTCTACTAGTTTAAGATCTCACATTCTGCGTTAGTGACTAATGAAAGGATAAAATCAAACGGAGTAACAGGAAATGACATATTACGAAAGAGACATATAAAATTTAATCCCTTTGGTTTAAAATACATCTTCAATGATACAATTAAAAACAACAAGCGAGACAAAAATTTATTTCATAAAACAAAATATAAAATAGTTATGACCCGTGTCCCATGATATCTTATCTTAGAAAACCAGCAATTTAGTTCACATACTTCATTAGAATATTTTAATGTAAAAATTTAACCATAATCCTACTTATACAAATGACCTATTCTAGCTCCCTGAACCGAGATCCCTGTGATTTTGTTATAAAATTACTTTTTAGTACTTGATATATTTAAACATGTTTACAAAAAATGCTCCCCTGCCACAGTCACATGGTCTCATAAACTCATGAACGCTTCCTAGAATTGTTAGCGTACGAGACGATCAAAGCTTGAAGGCTCTGGAACACGGTAACACAGAAATCACTTCTTGCAAGAGGAAGACAAGGAAGGACTCCATGTCCGGTTGCATCACCTAGTACCCGACAAGGCCACGCGTTTTGGAAGGACTGCGTGTCCACTCCCGCAGGTACGCACGATTGCTATGAGCCTGCGCAACAGAGCAGAGCTGCAGTAGTGTTTCCCCTACGCTTCATGGGCTACAACAGTGCAGAGATCCAAGTAACAACCCTCTCAAGAGCAAAGAGAATCCCTGCCGTTTGCGAAGGTTTTGCTATGCTCTGGGATGATCGCTGTCTGGGAAAACACGCCAGAACATTTCAGTAAGTTCCGCTAAGCACAGTACTCGATCTGCTTGGTATACACGACCGAAAATAACTTAACCTTTCATTTAGGCAAAGTCTTCAAGGTAGACCTTGTTGCATCTCTTCACTCTATGTACAGACACCACGGTTATATATTATCTATTTGTATAAGACACGTATGTACACATTTACAGACACAGGCCTTCAAAAACGTATTGCACTTATATACAACGCGGCGTTAGCTTAACTGATTCACACGGTGACCCATTCCTTCGTTAAGAAAGGTAGTTGACACGTTCAAGAAAGTTGCAAAGGAAGATTCAGTAACATGCCCTATTTAAGTAACCGTTTTCTGGAGGACCAGAGGCCGAGGGAGAAAGGGCGTGTCCTCGCCTCTTCAGATGCCGCTGCCGCCACCCTGAGGCAGTCGGAGCTACGCTGAGCAGGCAAGGACACAAAATCTTAAACCCAAGCCCATTGCCTTTTCTGGCTTGCACTAGTGAGCAGGCCCACTAACATTGAAGAGACAAGGTAGATAGCCCAATAGTTTTATAAATAATGGAGCAGATATTCCAAAGGTTCCCAGAGAGTCTATTAAACCTCAGAACACAGTTTTCACTTTTAATCCTAAGTACCGATATCAGAATACTGATATCCGAAAATTCAAACATAATGGCGTATGGATTTCTGTCGTCTGGAAATGCCAAGGCAGTATGTTGAATGCGATCTACGAGCCAAATGTAGCGCCATCTCCTACTTGCAAGGAGTCCCTTCTGCTGACCTCCACCCTTACCCGCGGGGTACCTGCGGCGGGCCAAACAGTGAGGCCCACGTAACCTTCCTTGAACTCGCTGGGAGAGGTGGGCCAGCGTGCCCTTAGATCTCAGTGAGGGTGAGCCTGTACGACCCCCCAGCTTCTTCGATCTGCAGCTGGAAGGTGTCCTCATTGGAGTAATGCTTCACGATGTTGTCATCCATGTTCACCAGAATCCTGGAAGAGGAGAAGCAAGACAGGTCTCCTCATTCCTGCCCCTTTGGAAGGCAGGTCCAGTCTCACGGGCAGCGCGGCCCATCCCAGCTGCGACACGGGAGGTACGTTATTTACAAAACCTCCCGCAGCCTCGATCCCCTCACCTATGAAGTGTCAGGGCCTGTCTTATAAGGCTGTTCGAGGACTACATGAGGGACCCCAGTAAAGCTCTTCGAATAGCGTCGGGCCCAGGGTGAAACAAAACGTACTAGCTTATCTCCTGCTATTACTTCAGCATGTAGGACTCCTCGATAGACAGGCGCTCTTATAATGCCAGAATAAGTCTGCAGAAGCAGCACCTCACTGATCCAGCTTTAGAAAGCATATTAGTCAAATTAACCTATGGGATCTGAAGCCACAGCTGCCTGACCAGTTAACGTCCCTGGCAAGTTATCCTCAACATTTAAGTGAACTACTAGGAAGTCTGACCCTTCCCACTAGGCTCATCCACAAAATTCCAATCATGATTTGCTTTAGAATGAAGCCATACTCTGCTTACCCATATCAAGTAGCAGAGTCACTTAAGTGAAATGGAACTAAAAATATTAATTTCGGGACCAGGGAGCAATGTTTTATGATTGAAAACACGGTCCAGGGTAGGAAAACACAGTAGAGGGAGCAAAGACTGAACCTGAACCATGGCCTTGGCACTAACCTGCTACCTGAGCTTGGACATCGCAGGCTGTCTCAGCTGCCAGGTCTATGATCTAATGAATGCCCAGCCTGGCTCAGAGGGTTACGTGAAAGTCAAGTACTACACCAAGTGCCTGGTCCAGTGCCTGACTCATGCCGGGAGCAAAATGAACGGGGCCATGTCTGCTCTTACCCTGACTCAATCTCGTAATGTGCTCTGGGATTTGGAGCTGCTTCACTGGTACCAAGCGCAGGAGAAGAGCAAATAAAAATTTTACTTGGAAAAAAAAAAAAAGTCCACAAAGATGTCTTAGAAAAGCAGATCAATTTAATGTGGATATTTTAAGAAAAAATATATCCCTGCATTTCACATTCCTGTAACTTTTTCTAGACTGGGCACAAATGCATGTGAATTGCACTAATGTTACAGAATATTAGCATTATTTAGAAGTACTAGGGATGCCAGGTAACACTTACCCTTTTTTACATTTCTTGAATATCTTCCCAATCTTATCGTGGGGCACATCATATTTGTCTGAGATCTAAAAGAACAAAGAAAAATAATTACAAAATGCTGATCTCGAGGCTTTAAAACACAAACTATAAATACTGTGGGACAGTCACTCAGTTTTCTGTCTTTCAAAAATGCACGTGCACAGCTGTACAGAAAATGCCTGCCGACCGTGGGGAGCGGGGTTACCTGCCTTTGGAGGAAGCGGTGGTCACCGGCCTGTCACCTCTCCCTAGTGTACTGATGGCTCTCTGTGGGTTATGTGGTCCTCTTTCTGGAACGTGACTACGCTCTAGAGCACTGTTAGGTTTCCAGAAGGAAGTGCACAGCTGCTCAGTGCCGCTGTGCACCCCAGGGACACACAGCTCCAGTCCGCGGTGCTCCTGTGACCCTGACGCGGCCACAGGGCCCCAACCTGATGACCTAAGCCCCACGGCTTCCAGTCAGGGTCCCGCCCTGCTGGTCACACCACCGCACACGCTCTGCTCAAGCCCACGAAGGCCTTGCTCTGGGGTCCGACCCAGAGGCCTTGACTCGGCTCTGGCCCTCCGCCTCCCCAGCTTAGGAGAGAGAAGCTCTGATTCCCTGCAGCGCGGGGCCACGGCGAGGACTCCGCGTGTCCAGCACAGAGCAGGGGTTCACTTCAGAATCAGAATCACGGGAAGGAAAACAACGCCTGAATGTCCCAGAGCCTAGGAGACACGTCAAGGTCCCTGATTACAAACCACGACCACGCCTCTGCCTGTTCTGCCGAGAGCCTCTCCAAGAGCAGCATAGATTCTCGCAAAGCCCACGAGGCTCCATGGTTAACCAGGAGGTTAATGTGGCCGTGGCCGCTGGGGTGTGGCCCTCGGGCCCTCCAGAGCCTCAGGCCTTCCACCCACTTCCATGATCTGTAAGGTGCCGACCGAGCAGTGGAATCAGGGTAGTGTCAAGTGTGCGGGTTCCCTTTCGGAGCACAGAGGCTATCTTTAAGGAGAGAGGATGAATTAATCCAAGGATAAGCTGACTCCGTCTACACCAAATCTTTCTCTGGAATTGTGCAGGCCACCCCCAAACTGGGGTTACCATCGACCATCTGAAAAGCAAAGCTCAAAGCAGCCCTGAGAAAGGGGGGCCCGGAAGGGCAACCTGCAGACTGCTTTCAAGCTAACAGAACACCCAGTTCAAACCCAATCTAAGCTCCCATCATCCAAACATCCACTTCTTTTTTGTATCACTGGGTCATACTTCCTCGCGTACTTATGAAGCATCAGGTAGGAAACCCCAGGCCTGAGAGACACACACTGACGGATTCTTGATGGGCTCCGAGCACGTTGTATTTGCACAGTAAGTCTCAACCTTTTTAACTTCCTTTCTCTCCAAATTAAGAGGGTGCATGGTTCTGGAGAAATGAGGAAAGGTTACCAGAAGACAAGGTAAGAAAGAGTAATGTTGGGGCGCCTGGGGGGCTCAGTGGGTTAAAGCCTCTGCCTTCGGCTTGGGTCATGATCCTGGGGTCCTGGGATCGAGCCCCGCATCGGGCTCTCTGCTCAGCAGGGAGACTGCTCCCCGCCCACCCCCCGCCTGCCTCTCTGTCTACTTGTGATCTCTGTTAAATAAATAAAAAAAAAAATCTTAAAAAAAAAAAGAGTAATGTAGGAAAAATCGCACGAAGCTGAAAAATGACAGAAAGCAGAGGCTGATGGTGGTACTGGCTTCATCAGGGGGAAGTAATGTGCTCAGAGATGCCTGTGAGCCCAGGGACCCCGAGAGACCATGGCTCTCCCCGTCCACTGTTCCCTTGCCCTGCTTTATTTTTTGTCACTGCATTTATCAGTGCCTGGAAAATTACTTCTTAGTTTCTTGGCCTACTTTCTTGTCCACACGTTCCTCTCTGGACCTGAAGCTCCATTCGGCAATGTGTCACCTCCTCTCATGACTCTGGCAGCTAAAACAGAACCTGGCGCCAAGCACGCGCTTAGTAACACGTGTTAGTGGAATTCAGCACGCCGTGGCTGTCAGGGGAGCTGGGGGAAACCCATTTCCAGTGGTGCGCATGCTCTGAGCTTGAAAATGCCTGTGATCTCTAGCGAGTTGATTAACATCAGGACACAGTGTTAACTCCCTGAACTGTATCCCGGGGCAAAGCTAAAATGGCCTCCTCCTCACGCCAACTCTTGCTGACGTCCCAGCAGGGATGGTTGGGGTCAATTTGTTCAGTGCCAAGGTCTTAGTGGGAAGGATTATGGTTATCAGTGGCTACATGTCTAAATTTTCTCAAATAGGCTTTGGCTAAGGACTTGATATAAACTTGGTCATTCCCCAGGATCAGGAGTTTCAAAGGCAGACCCAGGAGCCATTGTTTTTATGCAGGAAGTTTTTAAAGATTTCTATTTGATTAAAAATAATTTTTGTGAGCTCCTAAATGGTTTGTTAAATGGCAGTCTTCCTTTAACCAAGTATATTAAAACTATTTCAGGGGTGCCTGGGGGCTCAGTCGGTTAAGCATCCAACTCTTGGTTTCTGCTCAGGTCATGATCTCAGGGTCCTAGAATCGAGCCCCATGTCAGGCTCTGCACTCAGCGGGGAGTCTGCTTGAGATTCTCTCTCCCTCTGCCCCTTCTACTTGTACTGGCTTTCTCTCTCTAAAATAAATAGAATCTTAAAAAAAAAAACAAAACCCCCCCCCCCCCCCCCCCCCCCCCCCGCCCATCTCATAGATCAGCACGAAAGCCATCAGTTCGGTTGACAAGACGTTACTCAGAAGTTACTTCTACCAACTAGTATGCTGGGTGCGGCGGCATGAGGCCCAGTGGGGAAGGCCCTGCAGATGACTGAGGGCCCCATGAGACGGGATGAAACACAGGCACAAGCCTCAGAAATTTCCGTAATAACAAGGAATCTGGGTGGTCTGATAAAATGTGTTTCAGCGGGATTCTACTTCAGTACGTTTAACTTTCGCAGGAGGATTTCCAAGTTCCTACTACTTACAGCCTCCATCAAGCCTTTCAAAGATGGAGTCTTAAGCATCAGGGCATCAAAGACTTCCTCTGACTCCTTGCGTACGTAGAGCAGCACTAATCCCCAGCCAGGAATAAGGAGGGGGAAAGAAAAAGGACACAGTTATTCGTATGAGCAAAATGAGAGAACAGATCCTAGATACCAGTTAAACTAAAAGGAGACACAGCAAGAACAGTGAACATGAACCAATGTCCAATCCATCTGGAGGAACAGAGCTTTCGGCTTCTTTTAACTCTCGGGTAGGTCCAAGCTCCAAGCCGAGAGCCGGTCTGATTCAAGAAAGTCAAGCTAGACAAGATTGGCCTGAGCACTTCATGCTTTTGGCAGATGCAGAATCCCCTTCTCTCTGACAGCTCCCCCCAGGACTGCAAGCCGACGCACCTCTCTTTGGTTCTTCCAGCCGAGTCAGCTTAGCAGCAGGGGCGATCGAAAAATCCTCCTCCGATCCATACGGAGCCCTTTTCAAGTTAGAGCTGCAGGCAATCCGAAAGATGTGATTAGTGACTCCAACTTCTATCACTTGTGGAAACAAAAAGAGTTTTAGGGTATACCCCTGAAGTTCAGATTTAAAATGACCTTTGTTCTTTATCTGGTCCAGCTCCCTTAGTTTGTGGAGGAAAATCTGAGGCCCAAGGAAAGACACTGACTGAACCAGCTCGGGCTGTTCAAGGGCAGAGCTGGGACTATACACTCAGGTCAGCTGCCGGACGCTCTGCACTGCTTGGACACTAGAGCAAAGTGCTTCTCAGCAACAGAGAGCTGCTTTTCAGGAAGCATTTTATGGGGGAAGTAGGATTTGAGATATTAACACACACACACATACGTATAAAGGTGGCAACAAAGGAGAGAACATGTCAACAAAGGGGGGAAGCGCAACCAGCAGAGCCAGGCTGGCTGGAATAGAAGGCTCTGTAGGAAGCAGGTCCTGACGGAGAGCCGGGACGCTAGCGGAAACACCTTGATTGTGGCCGTATGGAAATTTTAGACCCAAGGTGCAGGCTTTAGGAAATCTTTCACTTTCGTGAAATGAGAATGCTGTGATCAAAGTGTGTGGTAGAGACTAGAGGGGACTCCAGGACTCAGAAGCAAAAGAACCTGTTAGGGGACTCTGGGGAGATCATAGCAGAAAATTCAAAAGGGTTCGAATACAGTAGTATCAGTGCAAATAAAAAGAGGAAATAGACACCAGTGTGTTTGAAGAAATAAGTTAAGTCCTGAGGCTCAAGTTCTACGTTGTGAGGGGGCGAGCAAGGAAACAGCACAATAACTGAAAATGAAAATGAAGGAAGAGGGCTTGGTTTTGAGCAGAAGGATCACGTCAAGAATAGGGGCTGGGCCTTCAGCTACTTGGTCTGTCTTAGTTTCCAGCACACACCCAGGCCTCCCATGAAAGCACGTGAGGTACGTCTGAGCACACAAGGAGTCTGAGAGGAAATGGATGGCCTTCAGAGAACACGCTCCCTACGCAACACGGGTCTGAAAGGGGAGCCCCAAAGGGGGGACCGGACATGGTTGAGTGTGCTGAGCAGGGGGTATCCAGGTGTGGGCAGTCAGGGCCCGAGGGGGCCACGGAGGGTAACCGCAGGTCAGGGGCAGTGACACCTCCACAGCAAGGAGCACACCCAGGGCCAGCTTCCTTCTTCGAAAGGGAACAGGGTTTCCTGGAGAAGAAGGTGACCCTCAGGCTGGGGAAGGGAAAGCACCAGTGCCTGGAAAACACTGGGCGTGGGCGTGAGAGAGCACCCAGGGAGCTGGGAGGGGGGCCCATCGACGGGGCTCAGGAGTAGCTGGAAGGACCAACGGACCTTCTAAGACAATTTGATCAAACTAGATGACAGAAATGATTTGCAACTTGTTGAATAGAGCCGGAAACTAGGAGTCCATACTGATAATAGAAAAGGAATGAAATTTCAGGAATGAAATTTTCACCAAGCGGCAAAGCGCCTCCCCACTACAGACTTAACTACAAAAGGAGGACGGGTGCCCTCGCGGCGGCGAAGCCTGGCAGACACCACCTTGATCATGTGATCAAAGCGAACCACACTATGCGGGGGGCGGGACCAAAACCGTGCTACATGACGGGACACACAGGGAGCGCAGCGCTATGTCTACGACATTCCTGCCAAGACGCATAATTACCTAGTCTAATCATGACAGGACAACAGAGACCCAAACTAGAGGACATTCTACAAAGCAACTGGCTTGTAATCTTCAAAAGTATTAGGTCGGGGGTATAGCTCAGTGGTAGAGCATTTGACTGCAAAAGTATTAGGTCAGGAAAGTCAAGGAGACACTGAGACTGTTCAAGACTGAAGGAGATTAAAGACACAACTACACACAGTCTGAGTCTGCGTCGGATCTTCCTCTGCTATAAAGGATGTTATGGGAACAACCGACAAAACCTGAACGGAACGTCTTGTTACTATCCTGGCTCCGTTATGTGGGAGACTGTCCCCATCTGTAGGAAATATACACAAGGTGTTTAGGAATGACAGGTCACGGAGTCTGCAGCTGACTCTCCAACGGCTCAGGAAAAAATGAGGTCTTTGCATTGTACTTGCAATTTTTCTGTAAGTTTGAGATTGGTTAAAAATAAAAAGAATTTGTTAAAACAGAACAAAACATAAAACTTACCCTTCACCCTCCAGTTCTTCGGGGGCAATGGGAAGGACCTAAGACCAAAAAAAAAAAAAAAAAAAAAGTTTTCTAGCATATGCTCAAAATATTTCACACCATAAGTAACTTACTTCTAAAATGAAAATAATTTTGAATTTAGTCTAGTCCAAAATCCCTTAGCCTTATTTGTCAATAACCAGATTCTTCTGGGCATGAACTCCTCTAAAGCAGAGAATGGCCAACTAGGGCCCGCGAGCCAAGTGGGGCCCGATGCCTATTCATAGAAATTTACTGGCGCACGGACCTGCTCACTCCCGGGCATCTGGCACTGTAGCGGCAGAGCTGAAGAGTCACAACAGACACCATGTGGCTCCAGAATACAGTATTTGCTCTCTGAGCCTTTACAGGAAAAGTTTATCAACCCCTGCTCGCCCCAAAGCTTCTCATTAGAAACTAGATACATGGTTGGGGCATCTGGGTGGCTCTTGACATCAGCTAAGATCGTGATCTCTGAGGTACGTCTGAGCACATGGAAAGTTCGAGAGGCAGTGGAGAATGGCCTTTAGAGAAAAGGCTCCCTACGCAACCTGGGTCTGAAAGGGGAGCACCAAAGAGGAGACAGGACCCTCAACATGGTCGAGCGCTGAGTAGCGGGTGTGCTGGCGTGGCGGTCAGGGATGGAGCCTACGTAGGGCTCCACGCTCAGTGACGAGCCTGCTTGAGATTCGCGCTCCCTCTGCCCTCCCCCCACGATGCACTCACTCTCTCAAATAAATAAACCTTAAAGAAAAAAAAAAGAGAGAGAGAGAAAGATACATATTGGCAATACCCACCCAATCCCCAAAACTTAAAAACTCATCGACTCGTATAAATATGTGCACGAAGTGCATGGGAGACCACCTTCTCCATATTGTTTAGAGCTCTGCAGAGAAAGCAGGCCCCACGCTGTCCAAGCTGTTCTCTCTACTAAGCTTCTGCTCGAAGCAGGGCGTAGCCAGTTGTGAACTTTTATATTAATTGCCAAGATACGGCTGTCTATGTGTCAACTATGATTCAGTAACTGAAACAATGAGGAGAGCCTTCAGATGCTCTTTTTTTGTTTTTTTCTTTTTAAAAATATTTTTATTTATTTATCTATCAGAGAGAGAGAGAGAGGGAGAGAGAGAGAGCGCGTGCGAGAGCGTGCACACAAGCTGGGAGAGAGGCAGGCAGAGACAAAAAGAGAGAAGCAGGCTCCCTGCTGAGCTAGGAGCCTGACTCGGGACTCGATCCCAGGACTGTGGGATCATGACCTGAGCCAGAGGCAGCGGCTAATCCAACTGAGCCACTCAGGCATCCCTCGGATGTTCTTTTTGCCATGAGGGCTACCTACCCTAAGTCTTCCTGTGACTGTTCCCTCCTGCCCAGAACCATGTAAGTTAAATGCACAAGATCATAGATCCGGACTCCAAACTGTTACTATTCTAACAATTTTAAAATAAACTAAGACATAAACACACAGAGACGAACAGAGTGAAGTTCACAGGTTTGGTACTTCATTCCTGTCAACAAGGCTTACATCCACCTTATTGTAAGGACAGTCTATCACCCAACAAAATATTCCAGAAGGCTGGCCCATAATAACACTGGTCAAACCTCTCTAAACTGGCTTCTGTTTAACAGGAATGCCAAAGACCTTCTCTCGCAGCCGCCCCGGGATCCTGGTTACCTACGTGAGTGCCCCGCTGAAGGTTGGCAAAGTGCACGTCGGGAATGAAGAGGACAGGCTGGGTGTCCAGATCAATGAAGGGCTTGAAAACTGTGATATCCATCCGTTTGTGAGAGGGAAGCAGTGGCACTTTAACATCGGAAACTGGGGAGGAAAAAAAAAAAAAGACGACACCCTGGTCAACCACTTCGGTACCCATACTGGACGCAGGCCACAGAGCATTCTCCTCCAATGTAAGGGCCTTCAACGGCAGCGCTCTAGAAGGAACAGCTCACGTTGCCTGAGCCGAGAGGAAAATCACAACCCACGTGAATACATAAGTTGGTTACATTTGTACTAAAATCAACCAAACATCTTAGCAAAATGAGAAGAGAAAAGGCTATTTTTAAACATACACAGGAAATCTGGAACAGAGGCAAAGCATGTTTACTTTTTGTCTGAAAGGCTAAGACTTACAACCATACAAACATAATTCAGAAGTCATTCACCTGAGCTGCCCTGACTCAGTGGTTCACATTCTGACAGCAATGCACCGTTCACCTTGAGAACGTAACTTTGTAGCTCCAACTTCTCCTCCCAACTTACCCTCGGAGAGGCTCAGCAGGAGGGTCACGGACTAGGTTTTTTATTTATTAAGGTTTGGACTCCCTCTTCCCCTGCCATCTGCCCTGCAGCCCTCGGAGGGGAGCTCTCCCTCAGGTGAGCTGGGAGCCTGCCCTTCGATGCTGGCCCATGAGCCTACCGCACAGTGCCACAGGGCACACGTCTGCCCAGGGAGGCCCCATTCGGAGCCCGATGCTCGCAGCCCACGCATCGCGCAGGAAACGCTCCTGCCACAGAGCATCCTCCTCCCCACCCCACCCCGGAGCAGACAGATACTGGATTTTATGAATATGAATACTGGTCACATTTTAAAAAAAAAGAATCAATCAAATAAATAAATAAATAAGGAAAGAAAGAAAGCTTTCCCAGTGAAATGTCCAAACAGGAGCCCTACAGATTCTGAAATGTTAGAAAACCACGCATTTACATTTAGAAGTAAGACCTGAATTCTCAAGAGCATTATTATGATTCTTACAAGTCTAGACAAGCCCCGGTATTATCACCAGCTATCCAGACAGAAGGTGTGTTATCTTTGAGGGCCAGAATCAGTAACCAGAACTAAAGCTAAGGGCCAAAATATGTGAACTCCGGAAAAACTCAAGGATCCTTTTCTGTCCTTCCCCCTAGGAAAGGACTTCGCTCAGCCATTTATCTGATCGCGTAACTGGGAAAGAATTCGTGCTACCACTGCGCGGCAGTGAGTGGCCACTACTATGTCTTGTGCTTGATACAGTAAACACAGATTCAGTCACTATTCTGAATGGCAAAGATCTGAAACATGTGGCGGAAACATTTCTACTTACAGGCATTCAACTGGGAGCTGGGGTCAGTACACTTGCCTTTTCTTTTGCTTTGTTTTCGTTCTTCATCCCTGATTTTCCTTTCAGCTCCCTATAGGTCAAGAGAAGACAAGGCATGATTCTGTTTAATTGATCCTCTTTAAAATATTTAATTCTGGGGTGCCTGGGTGGCTCAGTGGGTTAAAGCCTCTGCCTTCGGCTCAGGTCATCATCCCAGAGTCCTGGGATCCAGCCCCGCATCCGGCTCTCTGCTTAGCAGGGAGCCTGTTTCCTCCTTTCTCTCTGCCTGCCTCTCTGCCTACTTGTGATCTGTGTCTGTCAAATAAATAAATAAAATCTTTTAAAAAAAATAAAATATTTAATTCTTTTCTGAGGGATGGGAAAAAAATATCTCCTTTCTGGAGAAAAACTCCATTAATTATTATATTTATGGAGCTTATCATAGTAGTTTTCTCTAAAAAGCCTATTTTTTTAAAGAGAAGGAGGAAAAGGAGCAGAGGGAGCGGGGGAGAGAGAGAATCTGAAGCAGGCTCCATGCCCAGGGTGCAGCCAGACACGGGGCTCGATCTCACAACCCTGAGATCATGCCCTGAGCCCAAATCAGGAGTCCAGTGCTCAGCTGATTAAGCCACCCAGGTGCCCCTAGAAGGCCCGTTCTTAAAACTGTTTAACTATGTGAAATCATGGGGAAATACCATTTACTTAAAAAACAAATACAGCACAATTCCCCTCAACAATGGATGCGGCCAGGCTAAATGAAAAGCGGAAGATATCTGCTCACGCACTACGCGGCCTTCAAAAACCCAAGTGACTACTGCCATTGTCTGATAGACAAGCTGGCCCTGCTGTGACTGTGCTTTCCCAAGTGGGCAATGTTATCGTTGGAAATGGGGTTCTCTCCAAGGACTTGGCATCAAGCAAGTGACAGACGCGACCAACTAAAACTCCCAAAAGCGAAGATTTAAGTAGAAATCTGCATAATCACATAAAAGAGAAAAAGTGTACTCCTGACCCAATAGAGGGGACATACACACAATATACATCAACTGTACAGAGAATGGCAGTGTCGTAGTATTTACAAAACATGACCTAAAATTAAACAAGTATAATAAAAACCTAACTATTAATTAATCATTTCGCTTCACCTGTTAGCATTTATTTCTGGGTGGTACAGTTTTCTTCACAAAGTCACCCAGTGAAATCTCCACAAGAAGCTTATTTTTCTGCAAATAAACTTCCTGGTAGCAAAGACAGTCAATGAAAATCATCCCACAGACCCTGGCACTATTATATAATGAAACCACATTTTACCAAACAGAATACAAACCACCTTCTGCCCCTTCCAGAAGGTGTTAAGACACTCACGTACCAGTAAACACACAATATAAATCCCTACGCAATGCTGACACAAACTCCACCTCCCTGACACACAAAAACAGGTCAATATCCCCGACCTCCCACCTGTTACCATACAGTTGGTCTGTGTCTCTCTCAGTTCTTTCCAAGAGTCTAACAATAGCTTCACTCTGATGATAAATTACACTCTCCAAAAAGTAGTTTTAAAAAATAAGACATTTCATGGGGCGCCTGGGTGGCTCAGTGGGTTAAGCCTCTGCCTTCGGCTCAGGTCATGATCTCAGGGTCCTGGGATCGAGCCCCGCATCGGGCTCTCTGCTCAGCAGGGAGCCTGCTTCTCTCTCTCTCTGCCTGCCTCTCTGCCTGCTTGTGATCTCTGTCAAATAAATAAATAAAATCTTTAAAAAAAAAAAAAAAAGAAACAAAGCCTGAAAAATGTTCCAGTAGGATGAAAACTATAAACCCACAGATCTAAGCAGCTCAACAAACTCCAAATATAAGAAATGTAACGAGAAATATCAATTGCTCAAAATCAGTAAAAAGAGAAAATCTAAAGAGAGCCAGAGAAAAATAGATACATTAGGTACAGAAGAACAAAGATAATGATGACGGCAGATACTTCATTAGACATGGAAGTGCGGGGCGCCTGGCTGGCCCAGCCAACTCTTGATTTCGGCTCAGGTCATGACCTCAGGGTCATGAGATCGAGCCCCACAGCAGGCGCCCCGCTAAGAGGGGAATCTGCTTGAGATTCTCTCTCTCCCTCTCTCTGCCCCTTCCCCCACTCAGGCACTCTTTCTATAAACAAAAAAATAAATGTAAGGCTGAAAACAGCAGAGTCATGTCTTTCAAGCATCGAAGGAAAAAGCGTCAGCCATAATTTTATACCCAGCAAAAAGATTTTTCAAAATCAGAGGTAAAATCCTTTTCAGACATATAAAAGCTAAAAGAATTCATCAGCAGTAGACTCTGCAAGAAATGTTAAAGTCCTGTGACATTACAGAGAGCCATTTAAACTCGTGCTACTTCACTCTCTGTCTCCACAACTAAAGAGGCTGATCTTGGGCCGTCACAGCAGGCGGTGACTGAAAAAGTTAATCTCTCTGATCCTGATCACAGCCACAGTGAGTATGACTCTGCTGAAGAAAACAATCTATGGGAAATAAAGGCCAATGACATGTCTTTAAGGATGAACCCCAAATATATATATACGCACGCGCACACACACACACACACACACACACACACACACGCTCGTAGAAAGAGAAGCTGCCAAATTTCCACTGGTTGGAGATCCAACTCCTGTTCTCGTTTTCTCGAAAACATGTTAAATTGCTGCTGCTTCTGCCATAGGAGAAAGTTCCATTTACCAAACCCGTTGAGCAGTTCGTAATAACGTACTAAAAAAAAACCTTCTCAGGAGAGAAAAACCATGTAAGTGCCTCTGAAGGATACCAAGAGATGTCTTATTTCTGGTTTCCTACTGTGGATGTGGATCAGATTGATAAGATGTGAGAGTTTTAAGAACCAGCAGAGGAAAATGAATGGACAGGCACCAAACAACACGCGAGTCCTAGCTCAGGAAGGAGAGCATCAAGGAGGGAGGTGGGATAGTCTGCAGAGAGGAGGCAGCACCAGACAACCCAGAAGAGCAGAAGGAATCCCAACTGTAAGGGACGAGAGAAGCTACAACAAGATGCACGAGAATGAGGAGCGGGTGTGAGGTTGCGGGGGAGTTTCATGCGGCAGAGAGATTCAAGGACTTTGACAGTTAATTACACACAGCGATACGTAATATTTTCTTCCCATACCGGGTTTGATATCAACCCCTAATAGCTCTGAGATTAAAACCTCAGGATGGAAACAGTGTGTAAGTTCACCCCCCACGCCCCCTAGGCACCTCTCGACTGGTTAGCGCTCACACCAGCGCTGTGTGCTGTCGGGGCTCCACGGGAAAGCTGACCAACAGTTCTCACCCCTGAGCAGATCTCTGCTTCCACAAAAGGGCAGAATAGGTCAGCAGTATTTTCAGGGGCCTTACAAAGAAAGCCCAGCCTCTGAAGGCTGAGGGTGTGTGGGCACCTAGACAGGCCACACAAAGCACGGCCAGGTGCAGATGCCTAGTTTCTAACCACGACTTTGCGCGACCGCCTCTCACCGCGGTACAGAGCTTACACACGTGTAAGGAGAAGACAGTGACTGGCCTGCACCGTGGACACGCTATGCCAGACCGCAGCTAACACGCTGCTCTCACGCGTGATCGGGACGAACAGGCGAGGAGGCAAGCAGCACCCCCGGAAGATGAAATCGTGTGTCGTCCCAGACCACACTCAGTTTCGCAACTCCGAAGAGAAGGCTTTCTGCTTCAGAGTGTACATTAGCGCACACTCACACAATAAAAAGAAGTGGTTTCTAGATTCTGTACAACCACTGATTAATAAAATAACTTTAGACAATCATGAAACTTTCCCTGTGTTTCATTTTCTAAATCAGCTACCAATACGGAAGCTTCCCTCAAAAAATCTTAATATTAAAAAGAATTTCATGGGGCCCCTGGGTGGCTCAGTGGGTTAAAGCCTCTGCCCTCGGCTCAGGTCATGATCTCGGGGTCCTGGGATCGAGCCCCACATCGGACTCTCTGCTCAGCAGGGATCCTGCTTCCTCCTCTCTCTCTGCCTGCTTCTCTGCCTACTTGTGATCTCTGTCAAATAAATAAATAAAAAATCTTAAAAAAAAAATTTCATTTAAGATTGTGACTCATTACTGTTCCTTCTCTGCAAAACGGCTTGTACAGCTTTTGTCATCTGATGCCGAAAACTCCAGTTCATGCTAACGCGTACTGACGTCATTCGACACAGCCGAGATTCTGAGTGGGTCCATGCACCAGGATCAGCGCACGGGCGGTTACGGCCCCAGGAGAGATACATCAGAAACACAGTAAGCACTGGGCTAACAATTAGAATGATCTTGTGTCTACTGAGTCAAGTAATAAAAAATTGGGGCTTATAGATTTTATGACTTCGGACACCTCTTTAGGTTTTCTTCTGGCTAATAAGAGGAATGTGGTGTAAAGAGAGAACTCCGGCTCAGGATCCAAAATGCCTGCTGTAAGCCTGATGTGACTTGGCATTCGTAAAAACGCAGAGGACGTGGGAAGTAACAGCCGCTGGGAGATGTCCGTACCCAAATCCTCAAAACCTGGGACGATGTGAGCTAACACAGCAAAGGAGACCTAATGTTGCTAATCAGCTGGCATTCCGATAGGCCAAGTGTCCGAGATCATGTGTGTGAGCCCAGGATAATGGAAGGGTCCCTAAAAGCCAAAGAGCCAGACGAGGACACATGGCACCGGCAGCACGGTCCGAGGGATGTGACGTGAGACTCCTGGCTTTGAAGGTGGAAGAGGCCATAAGCCAAAGAATGTCAGTGCCCCGAGGAGGCAGAAACGCAGACAAACAGATTCTCCCCCAGACACGCCAGAAAGAGATGTGGCCTTCTAGCAGCGGGATTTTAGGCCAGCAAGACCTCAGACTGCTCAGCTATAGAACCATGAAGTAATAAAAGGGTGTTGTTTGAGCCACTTAGTTTATGGTAATTTGTTAATAGCAACAATAGAAAAATAATACAGCCTAGCACATAACCAGGCACATGGTACTCAATACATGTTACTGAATTTGGGTGTTTGAGAAAGTTCTCTGAACTCAGGCTGCTCCAACGAGGCCACATGCTGTGTTCTGGTCCCCAGTGTAAAAATCAGGACAGCAGACCTCTGACAGCAAATACACTTTCAGTTTTCTAGTACCTTCTAAAAATCTCAATAACAGAGAGGGTTGTTGCTGCTGCTGTTGTCGAACAGGACAAAAAGAAGAGACTGGCAAAAAATGTGGTCCAACATTTCCAGAGTGGGGAAGGTCAAAGTCGCCTTCAATCTTACGTCAGTGGAGCAATCGCTTCTCCAGGGCCGCTGCCAAGTTCCTGAGGAGAACACAGTCTCCAGCCTTCAAGACACCGGGGGCTACCTGCTCTCTCCGGAGTTCATCCAGCTGGGCCCCTGGCGCTGTACCTGGCCAAAGTGACCGTTTCCTCCCCAGATAAAAGAAATGATGTTGAACTCATTAGGCTTATGCTTTCTGCTCTTGCCTACCTGCCGCCCTAGAGGAGACTGTGAGTCTCACCTTCTGCTTAGTGAGCTGGCTGACGACTCGTCGAAGGGCCGGAGGGAGGGAAGCTGGTTAAAGGACAGCCCTTCACAGCCGTCCACACGGAGCCCTCGGACACAAGGCCCCAGAGCTCCAACACTGCAGCCTACAAGTCCCAGGGAGCTGAGGGGATGCCGAGGACCGAGCACAGTGCGCGCTCTCATGTCGTTATTAATACATTTATACCAAAGTGAAATAGTGCAAAGACCCTGGTTATTCTCCGTGAGGAAGAGTATGGCTGTCACATGCTTTACTGTCCCTCCCCAATCTGACAGTCTTACCTTGTCACAGAAGACTTTGATCTGGCAATATGCCCGATGCACTGGCTTGTTGCTACGGTTGTTATAACTATAGGTGTCAATTTGAATATTAAGAGGCAACCCCTTCACACCTTTCTGAGAAGAGAAATCTGTGCTTAAGCAGTTCACAGAGATGAAAACCTGCAAAGGGAAAAGAAGGTATGATAAGCAATAGGCACCAACAGTCAACCTTAGTACAGCTCGTAAAAATATCAACATTACTGAAATTCCTCAAATATGTTCTAAAGGAGAACTCAGCTTCTCACTTACAGGGAACTTTTTTTTTTTTTTTTAAATAAAGGGATTATTTTAAAACTACTTCTGGACATAGGAATGGCACACTTTATTTGAAGGGAAAAAAACAGACAGCAGCTTTGAACCACTGTCCATCTTCCCTTCCGAAATATTTACTTAGCATCAGACTGTGGAAGAGTCTGCTTGTCTTCCTTGATGTCATTTTTACCGATGCTACCAACAGCACAGATATCTAGAGATATTTTCCAGCTTAGTACAAACTCTGGGACTCTGCCTGCATTTCTGTCTACACTACCTCTTAGGATAACAGCAGTACCTGATGCATGTCCCAATGTTCCAGAATTTATGAAATCGGTGAGTCACATTATTAAAGTGGCACTGGAGGTTGTTACGAGAAACCCAGGTGAATCTTTTTACAGCAAAAAGCATGTTTCATTTCCCCCTTTTTTGTGGTTATGGATTTTAACCTCTCCACACAAGGTCACAATGCACAGAGATCCCTTTCAACCTTTTAGTTTCAGAATTTATTTCTGATGCGTGAGCACCACACAGTGGATAGTATTGGAATTACAGTTTTAAGTATCTGTGCCTTTCAGAGACCGGAGACCCTTATGCTCCTCCATTCCTTCCAGTCCAGGGGACAACAGCACATTAGCTCCAACAACCAAGGGCAGATTTACTACAAGTAGTGTGGGGTGCCACCGGCTGAACCAAGACCCAGACAGGGAGAAGTTTAAGCCAGAAAATCTGGGATGGGGGAGCCTCTAAGAATGTAAAGAGAAGGGAGTGCACAGGGTAAGGAGAAAGAAAATTATAACCATAATGACAAAGAATGTTCTCTTTAGAAGGTGTGCAAATCCTGAAACACAGGGGTTTTATTCTTGCTCTCATCTATCCACTATTTCCAAGAAGGAAAAGACCAAAACACCCTACAATGATGGAGAACTTGTCCACATTAACATCCTGTCCCTCCATTAGCTCTCCACTCCGGCCGGTCTACTTGTGGCCCCTAGAACACACCTTAATGCTCACCCCCGCCTCACATCTTTGTCCTTGTCCTTCTTCCTCCTCCTGCGTCCCTCCTGTCTCAGGCTAAGTCACCTCCAGAGCTCCTCTCTGCCCTCCACATCTGCAGAGCACCAGCTCCAGTGCCATCTCCACAGAGGTCTCCCTTCACCCTGACGTGTGTTGTGGAGACCACGGCAGTGGGCCCCGGAGGTTTCCAGACCTGTACAGGGCACCTGCTTTAAAGACAGGATCTCACTGCACAACCTTGAGAGATCATGTTAATCCTTTACAGGGGAGGCCCAGAGATTTTTTTTTTTTAACTATCCCCACGGTAGAAAAAAGCAAAGGGCTGGGGGCGCCTGGGTGGCTCAATCGTTAAGCATCTGCCTTCGGCTCAGTTCATGATCCCCGAGTCCTGGGATTGAGTCTCGCATCAGGCTCCCTGCTCGTGGGAAGCCTGCTTCTCCCACTCCCCGTGCTTCTGTTCCCTCTCTCGCTATGTCTTTTTCTGTCAAATAAATAAATAAATAAATAAATAAAATCTTAAAAAAAAAAAAGAAGAAAGCAAGCAAAGGGCTAGAATTATATCCAGAACTACCCCCCACCCCTTTATACCTATACTGCCACCTGTCTTTCCCAAATCAACTTTTTACCCTGATCACTTTGCTCTACTACCAGGAATGGTTTGCCGTCTGACATGCATTATGCTTTCTTTCCATGGCTAGACCACAAATACTTCGAGGCCAGGCCCATATTCTCCATGTGACAGCTTTCTCAACACTTACTTTTAGCCCCCTGCCGGGTCTCAGGTTGCCTTTTCTAGCCCACTGTTTTTCTTTCCAGTTAACCCATTTTCAGCAAATAAACAAAACACTTTTGTTTTAAAATATACCTGAATCTAGATATATAGGAAAAAGTGTATGTATGAATTTCAAATCCATTACAGAAACTTTGTGCTTTGACTTTGTCTTTTCCTATACTACTGACCCTGGAACAATGTGGGGGTTGGGGTACCGACTGCCGGCCCCCCACCAAGAGTCAAAAATCCACGTATAACTTTCAACTCTCCCAGAACTTAACTACTAACAGCCTACTGTTGACCAGAAGCCTTCCCAATAACACAATTTACATGTATTTTGCATGTTACACACATTAGATACTATATTCTTACAATATTTTTTTTCTTAACTTTTTTGGTTATCTCTAGGCTATGCGGTTCATCTGTGAGTTTTTTCAAATTGTCGCAAATCTCAAAAAAAATTTCCAATATATTTATTGGAAAAAAGTGACATATAAGGGGACCTCTGCAGTTCAAGCCCATATTGTTCACTAGTCAACGGAAGGCTGTTAGAAACACTTCATATACAATTTACAAATCTGAGTTAAGGAGATCGGTTATGAAACAGACAAAAGACGGAACGGACGAAAGACAGAAAGACAAACAGAAAGACAGTAAGTAGTCCACGCGAACAACTGAGCGCGTCAAGTAACCAAATCACCCTATTTTCCAGTTTACAACCAAGTGGGAAATCTCAATTTTTCTCTATCATTCTAGGCTCCATGGCTCAATTTAGGACTCAAAACCAGCAGCCTGGGAAAGTTACACTTAACCCTCAACAATTCCAGGAAGTCTCTGACCCAAAGCAATATTCCATTTACAAGAGGATTTCACGGTAATCCAAGCTAAAGCCCAACCTCCCCTTGCTTCCCAGCGTCAAGTTTCTATTCAAAGCAGAAATAAGCAGGAAGCAAACCGCAGGATCAGTATAAATGTGGAATCTTCAAGGAGACGTTCCCTGTTGCTAAGGATGAGTTGCAACCACTTTCTTACACACATTCTTGTCCTATTTTTAAATCGATTCCTTCCAAACCCGGCATTATTTCTACATGCAACAAAGAAAGTTTACAGCATCCCTAACCCAGTATTAAAAGAGCACGACCTTGTCTAGATAAACGCATACCCCCACCAGGAAACAGTGAGCAAGAGGTAAGCGCACCAGGCCCGGGACGCGGGGTACGAGGCGGAGAGCGGCCGCAGACCTCCAGGAAGGAAGCCAGGGCGGCGCCCACGAAGCCTCCCGGAGCGGAACAGTCATGCGTACGCGCTGCTGCCAGTGAAGGGGACACACCTGCTACCTTTAAGCCTCAACCGCAGACTAGCAAGAGCGCAAGATGCCTTAGGTGTCAAGGGAAAGGCTTTGGCCTGTGAATGGAAACGTGGGAGCTCCAGCCCCCTCGCTACCGAGTGCTGGGAGCGTGGCCGGGGTCGTCGCCTGTCCGACGCAGGTGTGAGTCCGATGATGTCCAGATCACTCCTACCTCCCGAGTCCTAGGATTATATTTATACTGAATGATTATGAATCCTTTATCCCTAACTCTGTATTTACTAGTGACAGTAATTTTGTGTCATACATTTATCAATTTTTTTTAACAAATCATATTATTTTAAAAGAACCATGTAAGGGTGCCATTTCAAGTAATGACATGAACTACTCGTCTAGGGTTAAGGACCTCATAAAGCAGAGCCTCACACGCCACGGTGCCGGGAGCCCCAGCGCTGCCAGGGCTCTCGGGGGCTTCACAGCCAGACTCGGTCAGAATCACCCGGAGGACGTGGCCCTTACCGGAGACAGTAAAGCCCCATCTAGAGGTTCTGCTCTCACTGGCCTGCGGGGGTTGGTGGGGAGGGAAGGTTCCAGACACAAGGCCATTTAAAGCAATAGCCCTTGCTTTAAAAAATTTTACCACAACAGTTAATACTGCTCCCCAGGTAATCCAGTGACCAGTGAGGATAAAAGCCACTGCTATCAGGTGATAAAGTTTCTCTACACTTACACTTTGATCCACCAAAGGTCTCCTTTGGTTCCCAGAGTTCGAGATGATTAAAACAAGCCCCAACATACGGTTTCCTTTAAGAAGTTCAGAGATTCTACGTGTATGTATAGGTTCCCCATCAAGTTTGCTCACTAGAAAAAATTTTAAGCCCTATCGAACAATCACATTCATTAAAATTGTGTAAGCCCCATCGAACAATCATATCCATCCAAGCAGCGGAAAGGTAAAGGTCAGAGCACCTGCGCAGCCTCACCACTCAGTAAGGTCACGCACACCCTCAAGAACTCACAGTTCATAAAAAGAGTGACCAGAAAAAAAGCCTATTACAAATCTATCAAACGATGCTTCTGTTTCTTCCTCCCAGAACATGCGATTTTCGCAGGGATTGATTGACGTGGCTGATGAACTGCATGTTCCGGTGACCCTCGGTGTCCGTGAGGGACAGAGCCCTGGAGACAGACGGAACACTCGGTCAGCCCTGTTTCTCAGGCCTGGTGCGCATCACACGCTTAACACGTGTGTGATTCACCAAAGAAGGAAAATGCAGAGGGAGCAGGGCGTGAATACGGCTGAGAGGAAGCATGCCCCAGACGCGTGTGACAGCTGTCACTTATTTCTCTCAACCAGGAGACGGCGGACTTCTTCCGTAACAGGATCCAGTGGTGTTTGAGCCTTCGTGGATGACATGCAACAGCTAAACGCCACAGTAACAGAGCCGAAGCAGCCACGGACAATACGCGGGCCAGTGGATGTGGTGGTATTTCCGTGAAACTTGACTTATACTGACAGGCGCTGGCCGGCCAGGGTTTGCAGAGAGCTGCAGTTTGCTGAGCCCTGATCTGAACAACCCCCTTCTCGAAGTGCTCGAACAATAAACTTACCCTTACATCGTCACAGTGTAGTCAAGAGCGAGGAAGTATTACTTCCCTTTTTGTAATTCAACATTTCCACTTTCCGCATAAGTGACTTCCCAAGAAGCACCTCTCGCTAACGTGTCATTAACGTGGGGAACCATACGCTCTATCAACACTACCCACACTCGC